GAAACCAGGGCTCAGAGAGGGCTAGCGATTTGCCTGAGGTTGCACAGCTAGCAAGCTGTGGCTAGAAGCAGGGGCCACTCCGCCTGGGGCTGATGACGAATTCCACAGGGTCCCAAAAGTCCTCACTGCTCAAGAGAGGCAGGAGTCTATGCTTTCCTTCCCAGATACTACCATGGAAGTCCATCTCCATCTCTGGGCAGGCCACGGTTTCACTATTGCTGGGCCTCAGGGCTCTGAAGTGGGAGAGCCTAGAACGACAGTCTGACCCTGTGGTTCCAGAGGGGCCCCAGGTTTTGCAATCAAAACCAACCCTATGTAAAGATTTGTAGCCGAGAGTCCTCGGCTGGAAGCCCAAAAGGATTTTTTTTTTTTTTTTTTTGATTGAGGTCAAAGCCCTTTGGGGGCTCTGCTGAGTCTAGGTATTTGAGAACTCATTCCTTAGGGGTGGGTGGCTGTCTGCCATGACACGCTGAGGGGGAGGGGGACCAGCCTCCTGGGGGAAGGAGCCGCTCCTGCTGGGCCGCCCAATACCCCCTCTGCCCCGAGCCTCAGCCTTCCACTTCCTGTGCAGCATCTGGGCCTGGAGCTGGGGTTTCTTCCTGCAGCACTGCCTGGAAAGGCGGGGAGGTGAGCTGCTGACTTTTCCTCCCTCAGCTTTCCTTGTGGCCAGGGAGGGAGGCGAGGGAGAGGGCGGGAGGGGCGAGGGCGGGTGACAGCTGGCTCCCAGAGCTTCCTGGTCCCCGCCTGACTTTCCTGCTGCATTCCTCGCCGCCGCCTGTTGTGGAGATGCCACTGGGAACAGGCCAGGCACCCTGAGCTTCCGGCCCTGTGGTTTCAGTTCAAGGAGCACCTTGACGAAGCTCCACTGCTTCACTCTTAGGTGGGTGAATACCTGGTCCTCATCTCCGCTCCCCTCTGGGGCCTCTGGTGCTTGGTCAGGCCCCAGCTGGTCAGGCCCCAGCAACCCCATTTCCCATCTTTGGAGCCTGAGGCCCGGGCAGCTGGGGCTTCAGCCGAACCGCCAGGCCCAGGTGGAAGCCTCCAGGGAGGCTGCTGCCTGTTGCTGACCCCCCTCGAGTGCATCACCCCCTGGGGCCGCTTCCACAGAACTGTACACAAGAAGCAGACCCTCTCTAGCTTCTCCTCCCCAGGTAGCTTCGGCCACCACCCAGAAGGCGACAACCAAATGGCCGCTGCTGAGCCTTGGTGGAAGGAGCTTTGCTTCCTCTCGCCGTCCTCCTAGGCATCCCAGGCCTCTGTGTCAGAGTCAGCCCGTGGCAGGGCCCTCCCGGCTCTCGGGAGGCCCCAAGGGAATGAGCATGCCTAAGAGAGAGCAAGGGGGCAGCAAGCCTTTCTGCTCTGGACACCCTCACATCCGCCTTGTCATCCGTCTGCAGCAGAACCAGGAGGATGGCAGAGAACGGCAGGCTGCTGGGCGCTGAGTGGTAGGGAGCAGTCTTGAGTTGGAGAAGTCCCCTCCTCCACCAGGCGGTCACACCAGGACCCCCCAGAAGGAATCAGAGGAGGAGGGGAACAGAGATGCAAACATGAGCCACAGTGATGCACCTCATGTTTCCCCCTGGGGCTTTCGTATTTTACAGCCATAGTGAAAGGAAGCCTCCCAGCGCACAGGACTTAGGGGAGACAGGCTGGGTTCATATAACCTGAAGCCATGTGTGGGCCCCCCCACCCTTGTGCGGCTGCTGTAGGTTAGAGTTCTTGGACTGGGCCTCCTCGGACCAGGCCCCCACCATGTGCAGTGGTGTGGGTCATTCACTGCCCAAGGGCAGCTGAAGGTCAATTAGGGGCTGAAATCTAGCTGGCACTGTGCTGGCCATCTGTGGGGCTTGGGCCCATCGGAGTCCTGTCTTCTGTTTTGAATGAAGGTACAACATGGACTAGTTGCACTATGCCATAGACTTTCAGTCTTAGACCTGAGCCTTCCTGTCAAATCAGCGGGGCTTTGTGCAGGCCCCGTGGCTCCAGCAGCCCCAACTACACGATGTTCGGCACAGCATATCCCCTGACAATTGCACTGTATACTCAAGTTCTGGGTGACTCAGAATCAAGTTTCCGTTGGAAGGAGAAGCTCACGCAGCATTGCCTCTACTGGGGATTGCAAGGCTCCTTCTGCAGCACATGAAACTACTCCTTAGCATCTCCTGTAAAAGGGGCCATCTCTGGCCTTTAACAGATAATCCCTCCATGTCATAATACGTCTTAAGACTTGGAAAGAACAATTTGCTTTCTCCAAAGTTTTCTCTTTTACCAAGAAAAGAAAGGACATTGGCATGGGAGAACAGCCGACTGAGCTATCCAACCACCTGGATCCAGGCCTCTTGCCACCAATTAGTCCTAAATGGCAGCTGGTCCACATCCTTGGTCTATGAACTGTGTAGCTTTACTCCTTAGTTTTTCCATTATTAGTCCCATGACATGGATGGTCTTTTACACATCTTTCCCAGTTACATGGGAAAGCGACTATTCAACTAGTTGAGTTTTATAGTTTGCAGGAGGTAGGAGATGACATATTCATATAGATCTCCCTTTAGAGAGGTCTAGCATTTGGATAGAAAATGGCTACCAGATTGAAAAGCATATTGGTTGGTGGGTTAATTCCATTTGATTAGAACACTGGGATGTTTTAGACCAAGTTCTTGGGTTCCAGCCTCAATTACTCTGAAAGTTGCCACTATTCTACAGTCATAGACCGTTTCCTCAGACACGGCCACATCTTGTGGGTAGGTGGTGTTGCCCCCAGAGCACAGGGAGCATGGCTGCATCAATGCAAATCCATTTCCACCACTGGAACCAAAAGGTCGGAATGCGCCCCCCATTAGAGTCTTCACAAAAGAACAGCAGGGAATTTATAAACTTTTTTTGAAGTTTGGACCTTTTATCATATAGATGCTAAAAATCTCAGGAGCTTGGAAGATTTTTCTCCTTCAGCTAGCCCTGAAAACATCTCTGTAATTTGTCCCACATGCACACTTGAGACACTTGGAAGGTGTCTGGTATTTTCTCGTTCTAAATGCTTTGTTAACAGACTTTGCAGAACCACTGACCCAACACTACTTCTGGGATGAAGAGACATCATTAAAAGCTCTTCACAGAGCTTCACTGAGATCATTCTTGCCTTTCCCAATACCCACTTCTTGTGAAAAGCAGCCTGGAGATGTTTGAACATCTTGTCTGGGTACCAGCCTTCCTCTCTCACACCCTCAGCCTACACGGTCTACCTGAAGGGCCTCCACAGGGCTGTGGGAGTTCTCCTCTCCTGCAGTTTGCACCCAGTGGTCCAACTGGCCTCCCAGTACACTCTGGGTTTGTCAACAAAGTCCTTAAACATCCTCTACCCACAGTGTGCACCTCAAAAGCAATAAGGAAGGGCGGGTTCCCACCATTCTCCATAGGGCCTCCGGGGTGGAGAAACTCCCGTAGGCCTTGCCTGAGAGCCTGTGGCACCTTCTTGGTGTGTGAAGCCACGGAGCCGTGGCAAACCAGCCACAAAGACACACCAGGGACCAGCAGGTCTTCCATTCAGCAAGTTCTGATTTCTCATGAGGGAAGGCCAGAGAGAGAGAGGACCAAAGAAGAGAAGGGACGAGCACTCATATTTTAATCGCCCCCTACCACAGCTATTGTGATGTTTACATCTAGCAAATTCAAAATCATGTTTAAATTCCGTTAAAATGCATCTAGCTATGACAGGTTGCTTTCAACCCAGAATTCTTAGAATTTATGTTAAAAAGATGAAGTAAAGATATAGATCACACGGGGGTAGTCAGGTTTACAAGGACCTTCAACAGAGGGGGAAGAAAAGGGCAAGTCAGCATCAGTGGGTTTCTGTCCTTTGGCAAGGGAAGTAGGGCCAGTTCCATGCATGGGAGTCCTGTTCCCTGGCTGCCATTTTGCTACTCACTGGTTTGATGTTAACAGTGCAGGCTGGGTCCCATGAACTCAGGAGCTCGTTTCTGATGAGCAAGTGAATGAGTGAGACCGAGGCCTTCCTGTACACCAAGCCCTGTGCTCGAATCTTGGAGAGAATGGCAGGAAGAGGAGAGATGGGTCCGTGCTGTTCTACAGACCACAGGACGGAACCCCCACCAGGCGCCATGGGGAAGGCCCTACTCATTCAGTGCTCTCGCCTCTTACCACGGGGTCTCCTATCTGCCACTGTGTTGCTCTCTACCCCCCTCGAATCTGGATGTGCATGAGTAACAGGCCCCTCCCCTACAAGAAGAGTGAACTTATAGCCCACCTTTACTCCCTCGGTCACGGTCAAGGCCTGGGGAGCCTGATAAGGCCTTGTCCCGGGGAGCACAGGGACAGCTCGGGGACTTGCTTCTTCCTCCATCCCACGGCTACTGCCTCTCTCCCTGTCCCACTATGTGGATGAGGCTGACAGGGGCCGTAAGGGACATCGGAGCTCATGCAGAGGCCACCAACACACGCCAGCTAGACTGCATCGCCAGGACCCATGCAGCACGGTCACCTTCTGCACCCGCAAAAGCCGCTACAGAGAAGCATCAGCTCCCGACCTGCACCTGTGTGATTGCTAGAGCTCACAGAGGGAAATTTGGAATTTTCTCTCTCTCTCTCTCTTTTTTTTTTTTTTAGATGAGCTATGGTTCTGAGCCAATTTATTTCATGGTACAGTTCGATGGCCTTCTCCCTGGGCTGCCGCGGAAGATGCACACGCCGTGCAGCCCCAAGGGCAGCAGGGTCCTTCCTCCTCAAAGCCCCGAGCAGAAGATCAAATGCGAGGCCCGTGGCTAGGTGGCTCTGTGTGCACCTTCTGCAGAGGGAGCTGCTTGGGGTTTGCAAACCCGTCCCTAGAAGAGAAGCCGCAGATGCTCGCAAAAGAAAAAGGGTGTATCGAGTGGGGAAAGCACTGGACTCCCTCCCACCCCGAAGGAAATGACAACCAACAACAAGAAATTGAAGAAACAAAGAAAAACCAGAAGAAACATTGAGGGAAGAAAACCAGCTGAACTTACCACACTGCGAGTGAACTTTTCTAAGGAAGTTCTACGACCTTGCTCACTTTCTGGCTTTAGGGAAAAAAAAAAAAAAAAAAAAAGGTAGGGAGAAAAATACAGAAAAAAAAAAACTCTTCAGCTTACATGTGGTTTCCAAACAGCAGCAGCGGCAGCTAATGCACAAAAACAACAGCAAAACAGGGTGAAAAACGGGAAAAGAGAAGCAGCCAGCGCCGTAGGTGAGAGTCAGCGGGAGAGACAGCAAACGGAAGCCCGCCAGAGATGGTGCTGCGTCCGTGATGCAGTTAGGAGAGAGGGGTGTTTGCTTCTAAGGGGCCATCGGTGGTGCTGTTGGGCTCGGAGTCGGAGCCTCTGTGCCTTTGCACGAGCCACTGTTGGCCCTTGGGAGCTGTCTGCTCCCTGCTTCCCACTGGCTGTGCTCGTGGGCTGGAGCCCCCAGTTTGTGTCCCCGAGGCTGCAGGCACACAGCTGGGGGTCCCAAGTGGGGACCCAGAACAGACTACTCCTGAAGGCTGGGTGTAGGCAGGGGATCCTGATGGGACATTAGGAAGTGGCCGTGGGCAAGGTGAGGTCATCAATGCCTCCGGGAGTCGGGCTTAGGACTCTCAGATTTTTCCCCACCCAGACACAGCCAGAAAGTTCGCTCACTGCAGTTACTTCCTACTGGGCCCCTGCTGACTTTCATTCTGTTTCCTTAGAGCAAGGAGGGTCTACCCACGTCCTCTCTGCTGACACAGGGTCTTGTGCCTCAGAAGGAATGTTTCAGACAGAAAGTGCTCTCTCGGTATGTAGGCAGGTGACCCCTTCCGAGGTTTACGCAGGGCCGGCTACAGGAGGCTCAGGGACCCCCGTGGAGAACTCCTAGCTAAGGAGCCCTTGCCAGGGGCAAGAAGAGGCAAAGCCCTTGAATCCTCTCTCCAGGCCTAGTCGCTCACTACCACACACTACCATAGGAGGAGAGGAGGGTGTCGTGTGTACCTGACCCTCTCCCTAAGTTTCCTGCTTTGAGAAGAGGTTTGGGAGAGAATTACATCCCAAATACTGGCTAGTTGATCCTCGAGCCCTGTTCCAGGGTCCTGAGTCTGAGACTGGGAAATTTGGAGAGTAGAGTCACTCACATGGACACACACACACACACACACACCCAGCAAAAATGGAAACCGGAGAGCTGAAGAAGCAGCCAGGTGCCTGTGGGTCTGCAGGGTGCCGAAAGCAGAGGGGTGGGCAAAGGGCAGCCATCTGTCTGTGCGGTCAAGGTCAGAGGGCTTCTTTGGTGGTGGTCATGCCCCTATCCCTTCCCCTGGCTGCAGGGAGACAGGACGTCGCAGAAGGAAAACACAACACACACACACACACACACGACACACACACGACACACCACGGCAGAGCCAGGCTGGACTTTCTCCTCACACAAGGAGCCGAAGGTTACCGTACCAAGTCTCGGCTCTGGGGACGGCGGGACTCAGCTTCAATCCGGTGCGCGGCCCAAGCGACACACACTCGGCTGGGGTCAGGCTGGTCCTGGGCCCTGCAGCTAGCACGGTGTGCTTGTCATTCTTGTCCTCTGGCTACTGGGTTGCTGCTCACAGAGGGTTGCCATCAGCCTGACTCATTCGGGTTCCTGCCTTGCATGTCCTGGAGGAGCACTCGAAACCCAGCTCACCGGCCCCTTGAGAACCTGGTTTGCCAGAGCAGCTAACCTTATCTTTGACAATATTAGGACAGAGGATGAACTAGGGATGAAGGTTCAGGAAGCTGTGGTTCCAGCCTCCATCATGAGATGGAAAAGCAGAAAAGTGAGGTGAGATCCAGGTCCCCTCTTGTAGCTGGAGCGTGGGACCCTCACATACCTTTATGACCTGGACATTGATATCACACAGCAAGCCCATCTCTGACATCAGGGAAGGCCTACCTGAAAAATACCGAGTTACAACTCCAATCCGCACCTGGAGACTCTCAGGGAGAAATGGAAGAAAAAGTAGGTTTTGTCACTGTTTTTTGGAAATAATTAACCCCTGGATATTGCAAGGGTGTTGGCATCTGCAAGAGCTTTTCTGCCAAAGAACATCCCTTCATTTGGGGGCTGGGAGGCTCGTTCTAATCAGTTTCACATGTAACATTTCACAGGCAAGCCGTGGGTCCCTTTCTCACATGAGGGATCTCCTTTGAGAAGTTCTCCCCTTATGGGAGGACCTGTGGGCACAGGTGTATCAGCTCCACTCCCTGAGCCGGAGTGTGTTTCCCCTTTGTGTTGAGACCCATAAGAGGACGGAATGGCTTCTGGACTCTCCTGGGCATGTAGATGGCCCCAGATGAGCCAGACTGCTAGAACCTTAGAATTTTTCCAAACTGGGATCAGTTCAGGGTCTTGAGCCACGAGAAATAGGAACATTCATTTTGACCTTCTCCCATGAGATCTGGGCTGGAGATACCAGAAGTGTCCATAGCTTTTCTTGAAAAAAATGGGCATCTGATGTTCCCCTCCATCAGAGCCCCAATACCTACACCCTCCTGCAAGGGAGCTGGCAAGAGGCCAGGCTTCACATTTTCCATCAAGTAGTGACACTTGTTGGAAGGAGTGCAGGCAACCAATAAAGCTGGGTTTCTGACAGTCTGGGTGTTCCAGAAGTCCCTTTTCCTTCCTCAGACTCTCGGGGATATTCTCAGGGCTACCTAAGGGCAGGAGAACGGGATACAAATGCTTTTCTAGACTCTGGAGTTAGAGGGAACCAACCAGATGCTCAGACAGGGTCCTGGCACACGAGGGAGACAGACAGACAGTACACAAAGAGGAGGGCTGCGTGGCAGGGAGAGGCAGCTGACAGAGGGCGTGTGGATGGACAACCGCAAGCTTCGGGACTGGGCTCCGCAGGCTGTGAGGGGGGGCGAGGGGATGCCCGTAGTCCTAAGCGGCGTGGCATGGACGTTGTGGATTTGGGTGCAAGGGGAGCCACACTTAACCACATGGGGGCCTTGGAGCCAAGCTGCAGAGCATAGAAGGTTTGCAGGCATACAGGAATCCCGGACCATCTCTCCTGCCTCCCCTTTCCCAGACCCCAGGCCCCTCCCGGCTCTTCCTTCCCTCCTCCCAGAAATCCAGCTGAGTTCTTCCTGCTTCAGCTGCCCCTTGTCACCTACATGCTGAGGGTCCCTGGGGGCCCCCAATCCAGACACCAAGGGCTGCAGGGAATCAAGGCTTGACTCTGAGGGGAGGAGGCATATGAAGCTAGAGTGCAGTTATTTCATGGTTGAAAGACAAGGCAAACACTGTGGGGCATCAGGGAGGGGACGATTCCACCAGTGACTTCCGGGGCTAGACGGGATTGGAGGGAGGGCTTGAAACCTGTAAGGTTTTCTACCCAGTGAGGGGGTTGCCCTGATCCTTGCCTCATCCTCATCGCTGAGCTGGTGAAACTTTATCTAAAGTCTGTGGTGAAGGGGGCCGGACTTTGCAGTGAGGGGCTCTTTCTGGTTTCCTAAGGGATTCGTGGGCGTCACCGCCAGTCCTGAACTCTTGTGCTGAGCCACTGTGGCCTTAGTATTTGGTCACACCCCCTGCTGTGGGCCGAACGCGCAGGCCGAGGTAATGGGGACTTGGAGACAGGATGCCACACCCTGGACCTTGGGGGTGCGCTGGGATGGTGACGATTCTATTTGTGTGTCTTCCCTTGGACGGGGAGCAGAGAGAGAAGGGAAAGAAGAAAAGTGAAAATAAATAAAACCCAAGGGATGATACTGTCATCTGACACCAGAGCAAGCAGCAGGTAAGGGTCAACAGTGCTAAGAAAGGCAGGCCTGCCCTTCCCAAAGATCTACCTTCTTCTTGGCCAGCAGCAGGTCCTGGTAAGCGTTTGACCGGAGGAAGCGGGCATAGCTGTCACTCTTCATCAACTTGTAGATGTGTTCCTGGGAAGGACGGAGGCAGGAAGACACAAGAGAGAATGGTCAGCCACTGCTAAGGACGGGGAGTCACAACCCAACTGGCCACTGTTTTAGGAAAGAGACAAACTGGGGTACGCTTGCATGGATCGAGAAACACTTGTGATATGTTTGCTTTGTTTTCTTGCCCCACCCAGAAACACCAAACAAAATATATTTTCTCCCTCAGAATAAAATCTCCTCGAGGATCATGTCCCAAAGGCTTTGTAATTGGGCCTTGGCGCCATGTTGAGATGCAATATTGTTTAATGATTAAAACCACAGGCACAGCAGTGAGAAGGAACAAAGTACTGGTACACCCAACCACTTGGATGGATCTCGAGGGAATTATGATGAGTGAAAGAGCCCATCCCCAGAAGGTTACATACTGGATGATTCCACTGGTATAACATTCTTAAAATGACAAAGTATAGAACTAGACAACAGATGAGTGGTTGCCAGGGGCTAAGGATGGGAGGGGGTAAGGAAGGGTGTGGTTATCAAAGACAATATGAAGGATGCTTGGGGTGATGGTGCTGTACAGAACTAAACACACACACACATACGCACGCAAGAGTACAAGTAAAATTGGGAAATCTGATACACTTGGTGGTTGTAGCAATGTCAACATCAGGGTTGTGATATCATACTATGGTTCTGCAGATGTTACCATTATGGGAAACTGGGTAACTGGCACATTTCTGTATGTCTTACAGCTGCATGTGAATTAAAAAGCTTAATTAAAAAAAAAAGAACTCCATAGGCCAAGGTGCAATTAGGTCAGTTGTGCATGTTAGGGCCACCCTCCTATCCTGGGAGTGTGCCCTTGGCAACCATTTACAGGGCATGTGAGCAAATACGCCTGGCCTAAGGCTTACATCCAGGAGGGGCAGATGCTATGGTGTGCTCCCCTCTCTTCTTCGCCCGGGCTTCTAGAGGCATTTGCATTCTGGCCTTGGTGATGAATTTCGCCCTGGACTTCCGGCTAATTCCTATAGTCTGTGGGCCCTTCCTCACAGATCTGTCCTCACCAGGGTCAGGGTAAGCCTGGTGCCTTAAAAAAGGGCATTTGTTGATGGGAAAAACATTATTTATCAGTTATGATGGGATAAATGTGGCTCAGTGGTCCAGAAGAGCCTGGCTGTCCCAAGAGAGGACATGTTAAGAGGAATGGTGGGCTTTCACTAGGGAGGATGGGGTTGCTGGCAGAGGCTGGCCTGGTAGAGGAAGCATCTTCTCTTATACATAAGCATTGTTCATGCCATGAAGCTGGACAAGGGCCTTGGGGCTCGGGGGAATGAAGAGCTGGTCAGTGAGGAGAGAGTGCTCAGTTGAGAGGTGAGACTGGTCATTAAGGACCTCTTCCTTGGGTACTTGCCTCTCAGGGGAGGATGGAGGAAGGGCAGCCTCCCCTCAGCTGGGGGGCACATTTTATAGATGCCTGGCCAGGCTGCTGTTGCAACCCAGAGGAACCCGGGACAATGGCGAGGGCTTGCTGGGAGCCTCTCCCTTCCCACCTCAAAAGAAAGTGAGAGCAGAAAGCAAGCAAGTCCTTGGCCACGTGTGGATCCTTCTCCAACTCATCTTCAGCTTGGGCACCAGCGTCATTCTTCCTGTGATGCCCCCATATTTACAAAAGCAGGGTGTAAGCTGGCTAACGGGATGGCCCACTGCAAGGAGCCAAGCAAAATTCAACAGTGGCTTGGATCTGAACCGACTTTGATAATCCAGACGTGGTGCATTTCATAAACTTAGTGAGAACATGCTTCACCTAGTGTTTTCCTGCAATTTTCAGACAAAAATCCAGCCCACTTTAGTGTAAGTTCCTTGAGGGCAGAAACAATATGTCTTTATCTCTTATATGGGTACAGCGTCCAGCACAGGATTCAATGTTAGTGACACTGTTTCCAGGTTCACTGACGTGCTTGTGTGAGTAACATCCGGCGAGTTTGCAGGCACCATACTTGTGCTTTCTGCTCACATCAGTTCCTGCCCTCTGCGTGGAAGGGGAGTGGGGCTGGCACTCAGCTTGAAGGAATCCCACATGGGAGCATCTTGGGTCATCTCTAATGGCCTCAGAGCTTAGGCTGAGGCGCTGCATTGGTCTTTGTTTTCATGTGTGGGCTCTTTCAATTGTTCTACCATTTAAATCATAGGTACAAATATTAATGACTCACTGTCTCTTTCTTCTTGTCTCAGGCATCGCTTGTGTCTGGCTGACAGAGGCAGGTGGCTCCTGAGTCATCGGGAGAGACCTATCACTCATGCCTGGACCCTCTCCAAACCCCTCTCCAAGGTAACAGGTCCCTGCTTCTTATCCTGGCTTCTCAGATGAATCTAGATCCTGGTCTATCTCACAAAATACCCCCCTACTGCCTCAAGAGAAGTAAGGAGATCTCTCCTCATCCAGCACTTCTGGCCGTGGCAACAAATTTCACCCCTGATCTAGCTAATTCCTCCAGCCTCACTGCGGGATGGAAAAGCCTGGTCCATTAAAAGAAAGAACTCGTCAATTAAAAAAGAGCAGGATAAAGCACGTGTCTAAACATTTAGTCACAAAGTCAGCAAATATTTAATGAGCATCTACTAGGCACGAACACTCTGTCAGGCATTGAGGTGACAGCCTGAACAAGACGGACTAAGTCCCTGCTGTCATAGAGCTTAGATGCTACGAGGCAAGATGGATGCACAAAATGATAGACTACAACTCCCAAAGCAGTCTCAGGTCCCAGCCACTTGTCAATTTTGCATGGCTCCTTGCAGTGGGCTTACTCCCGTCAGCAACTTTTGTAGACCTGGGCGTGTATTTGAGCTAAGGGCTCCAAGGACAAAGTGTGAACACAGGGTGCTGGGAATGGGTGTATATGGGATGACCCACTCTGCCAGAGGAGGGTATGTCTCCCCGCCCCCTCTGGGCCTCCCTTTCCCACAGTCTAGAGACCCATGACTCTCCCCTACCCTCCTCTGCTCTCCCAAGCCAAGAAATGGGGCCTTTGATAGACCCAGTTACGGAACTCTGTTCCTTCCTCCTTGCCAGCTTTGTCTAAGAAGCACAAAGACAGTAAACAGGGGGTGGGTGAACGGAGCGCTGAGGTTTTTCTGGGAATGAGAATTAAGATGGGACTCAGGGTCTTTGGCCCGTTCCCAAATGCAATGAGTTTATCACTGCCAGGGACAGCAAGTGTACAAAGCTCTTGGCAGTGACCTCTACTGATTTATGGGAGGTTCTGGTTTGTTTCGCCTACTCTGAAGACAACCAGTCTTAAGGGAAATGTATATCCAGAATCTGCACAGAGCCACTGGCAAAACCAGGAAGCCCTCACTGACAGAATTCCTCAGGGGCTAGAGAAAAAGAAGTTTCGTCTTCTCTTTTCTTCTTTGCCTTTTCTTGTCTTATCTTCTCTTCCCATCCTTCGCTCCTTCCCTTCCTCTTTCTCCTTTTTCTCTCCTTTCTTCCCTTCCCTCTTTTTTCATTCTTTTCCTCCCTCCCTCCTCCTTATTCCTTCTCCCCCTCAAAAAGAGATAGCTGAGTTAACTATGAACAAGCAGAACTAGCAGGGTCCACATATGCCTTCCTGACACATGGGAGGGTGGGAACGGTTCTCCATAGGCTGAGCAACTGACGCTCTAGGGCCCTAAATCCTACTGAACATCTTAGCCACAGTTCTCAGTGTGGGGAGGGAATCACGTCCCTCTAGCGGCTGACTGTTACAGCACAGGGTTGTCGCCCTGACGAGACATTCCACCTGCATCTCCCTTTTTGGGCCCAGGGTTGGGATGGGGAGTTCCACTTGCCTGGGATATTAAGGCGGAAGCAACAACAACTGGAACCAGGAGGGTGAGAGACACACGTGGACGCTGGAAGGAACAAGAAGTGCAAGCTGTCTCAAAACCACACCTGCTTCAAATCGATGTTTTGCTGTGATAGTCCTCATTTGGAAATATCCTTTATTTTTAGGCAAAACACAGTGACCCTCACAAGCACTGGGGAAGGTAATCAGACAAATGCCTGGGGCCTTGGGCCCCAAACATGCTGGAGCAGCTGACTTACTTAAGAGCACCCTCATGTCCTCCTCTTTGCTGTGGGTCCCTAAAACTGCTACAATCTCATTTCCCAGCTTTTGAACATCCTCCTGGAATAGGAAACCTTGTCAACTGGAGCATTGCACAGCTGCCAAGAGCCCTTCTTGTGATTTTTAAGTGTCCTATTTTTCTTTTTGCAGAGATGTGGGCCTCATCTCTCCCTCCACACCCAGACTTCCTGGAACAACATCCAGACTTTGGGGACTGCTGGGTCCATCACAGTCCCTTGGAGGAAGATGAGACTGTGGTGTAGAATGGGATGTTGCTGAGCAGACAGGTGGAAGCAAGACTGGTCTGGGAGCCAAAGGTCCCAGCCACTCATGAATTTTGCATGGCTCCTTGTGGTGGGCTTACTCCCATCAGCAACTTCTGTAGACCTGGGGGTGTACAGGACCCGGCCCTGCCTATCACACAATTAAATGAGGAAATAGAAGTGAAAGCACCATAAAAACTCTATACATGTAAAGTAATAATAATAATTGGCCTTCATGTTGTGACTGTCCTTGCTAGGGATGACATGGGTGTGAGCCCAAAGACTGCAGGTTCCCTGGGGTGGGAAGAAAGGTGAAGCAGAGCCATTATTTAGTTGCTGTTGTTTGCTCTAAAACATTATTTTTGTTGCTGTTGTTTGCTCTGAATCAGTGCTTAGATTTAAACAACCCCACTTTATAGATGTGGATTCTGAAACTCTAAAAAGTTAAGTGACTGGTCCAAGTACAGAGCTAGGATTTGAACCCAGAACTGTGTGACTCCAAAACTCACACTCTTCCTGGGCAACGTGTTGCTTTTCATTGTCTTTGAGTTGGAGTGTTGAGGGGAGTCAGTGTTGCATGACTGGGACAAAAGAGGTCCTCAATGTGTCGTTGGCAGAAACAATAGGGGTCTCCTCTTGAGTCCTGATCTGA